AGCTAGCTTGTTCTTAGAGTTTCTAGCTCAATTTCAATGCACTCTCAAACTTGAAATACACTTCCTCAAGATCAACCAAGGCTTTAGGATGATCAAACAAGGTTGTATATGATGTGTATAGGTAGTGTAAGCAAACTAGGTTAGCTCAAATGATGCCTTGGAATGGAAGAATGAGGAGTCAAGGCTCTCAAGGTGTATAGCTCTCTTCTAGGTATTTTGTTCAACCCTCAAAACAATCTCAAAGCTTTAGTTTTATAGAATTCGAGTTGAAAAGGTGACAAATATCTTCAAAAATGGACAGCTGGCAGCCTCCCGCCCAGAACAGTGTTTATCGCCATCGAAGGTCGGCCGACCATTCATAGCCACGGACAGCCATCACTGATGCACGGCCGGGCCTTGATGGCCTCCCCTGTTTTTTGGTTCAAACTCAACTCATGAAGGGAAAAGGTCTAGAAATAAAGCTCACAAGTTCCAATAAGGTAAATGTTAAAGATTTGAGGTTATTTCGGGAGCTTGATTGATTCCAAATCGCTGCGAATTCATAATTCAATTTTCATCATTGAGTGCATTGAATCAAGCGTCTAAGTCTTGCGGGCGATCAAAAATGGAGTGTCTACACCATTCTTGCTATTTCTTCCATCCTTTCTAAAACCCCTTCTTCCATTTTTTTCTTAAATGAAGTCGTTTTTTTCTTGTTGAATGGTGTGTGGGAATTATTCTGTGGTTGTGACAAAAACTGTGCCATCAACAAGTTAGAAGACAAAACTTCTTTACGCCTTCGCTTCATTTTTTCTTCTTCCAACACTAAGAGTACATGCATTGTCACCATTGAAATCTCTCGTCCGCTATAAGTTAAAGATGTGACAACATGATCCCAAGATGATGGAAGACTATTAAGTATGGTAGTTACTTGTATCTTGTCCGACAAAGAGTGATCAGCGTTGGATAATTCTTTAGCAATTAATTCTATTTGATTAACATGATCACCAACACTATCATTATCACTCATATGAGTGTTATTATATTTGTCCAAGAGCAATTGAATTTGAGTGTCCGATCGAACTCCATACTTACTTTCTAGTGCTTCCATTAAAAGTTTTGCAGTTTCATGTTCTTCAAAAAGCAGAATAATGTTGTCTGCCATATTATGTAACATAATGGCCTTTGCCATTGCATCATCTTCTATCCATTTATTTTGAAATCCATTAGAATTATCATCTAGTTTAGAAGTGGATAAAGTGTGTAATGCTTTTTCATGTGTAAGAAGATAAGAAATGTGACGCTTCCATATTTGGAAATTATTTCCATTAAGCATCTCAATTCTTGAAAAATCCATGGCATTTTTAATAGCTATACTAAAAACAAAAATATGTTACAATAAAAATTCAAATGTGAATATTTCAAACTAGAATAAACAAATAAGAAAAATTAAATACAACAACAAGTCTTAATGAGGATAAGCCTTGCAGTTGTTGCGTCGGTCCCTGTGATAAGCAAAAACTCGGTCGTCTTGCCTTGGTAAGAAGAATGATGAAAACCCGATGGCCTATTAAACCCAATACTTTGCTTATGAGTATTGTAAAAATAGTTACGAGCCCAAGGGACACAACGGTGGTTATTAAATATTTTTTTGAAACACCCTTGGATAGCTTCCTTACCTAATTATTTCTTCTGAAAATTTAGTACAATTACCCACGGAAAAATTCTTAGAAGAATTCTGAAAATTTTGCTATTGAATGACTGAAAACGGTCTTGAGATAAGTGAGAACGAGCCGAAAAACTGTTTGGACTGGGCTACTGCCAGTCCAAAGGCTAGGCTGAACCGGTTTAGGCTAGCTGAGATAGAACCAGCAAGTCAAGGCGCGGATCTGGGCTGGAACGCAGGTTGGCGCAATGGGTAGTCGGACACGAGTCGCGTGGGACTGGGCTGGCACGCGGGTCTGCGCACTGGGCTGGCTGCGTCGCTGGCCTGGGCTCCGCCTATGGTTCTGGGCTGATGGGCTCTGCCTGCGGCTCAAGGCTTCTGGGCTCTGCCTGGCTGGTTTGGGCTCCGACCAAAATTGGCCCAATTGGTTTCTTTTTAATTCTTAGGCCCAAGGGAACAGATTTTCTTGCTATAATTTTTATTTTTGGGCATTTCCCCTTTATTTTTGAATTTAGCCCAATAGAAGGAATGTTCAACACAGATGTTCCAACGGAATTATTCTGATCTTCTTCTCCAGCAAATGGAGTTGGAGTCCACAAACTGTAAATTGAACTTTGTGGGTCAATTTTTTGCCCTTTTTCACAACGAATTTCATCGTTAAGATCAAAATTTTGAGAAGAACAAGATGGTGCCAATTTGGAAACGCAATTTGAACCGAAAAATATTTTACAAAATTGCTTCCAACGGTACAATTCGGCCTCACTTTCGGCAAGGTTTGGAACAATAGCACCACCAACAGTTATTTTCTTCGGATAGTTTTCCGGAAATACAACACGTTGGTGATGATTAAATAAACAAATGGAATTCACCAATGCCAAAGATTGACGGTCAATGATTTTCTGAATTTTCGATAAAAAGAGTTCAGAAACTTTTCGTTCTTCCGGACTATATTTCGACATTGGTGATAATGTATAAATATTGCTCTGATACCACTGAAAGATAATCTTACAATGGCAATGGATCGGACTGCCCGTGAGGGTGTTTATCACGCATAGAAAATACAATCCAGAAGAGACAAAATTCAGAGAGAAAGAAAAAAGTTAAACAACCATTGTAGTGAGACTATAAATTTATAGTTTACATGGTGACGTTTGATCAATGGTTGCAAACATTCAATTGCAATGTCAAACCAACAGTCACTGTGTCTTCTATCATTGTGACTGTTTATTTTAAATTCAAAACTTCCAGTTGTATTTCTTTTTGCGGGAAGGTTTTATATTACCACGAATTGGGCTATGATTCGGTATGAGACAATTCTCCATATTATGATGTGAACACTCTCATACCTTCGGTCCTTACTTTAGAAGTTAATATATATGTAAAATAATTGAATATTAATTAATAGATTACAGGAAGATTTTATTGGATTAAAATATTAATTTTATTGGTCGGTTTGGAATTAAAATATACCCATGTGAAATGAATTTTCTGTATTAACGTCCGAAAGGTCTTAAAGCATAGTTGTAAAGTTGCTTAACAAAGTGCCAACATGATTATTATCTTAAAAGAAGGAAAAAAAGAAGTGCCAACATGATTCACGTGGTCTATGCCCATACAATAGGGCTTGTCTTGGTTTTTTTGTCACTTAAAAGCAAAGTATTTTTTTAATGGATCATTTTTTGAACTAATTTATGTAGCAGTTTATTGTTTATTAATTTATTTGGGTGATATTAGTTTTATATTTTTTTATATATTTTTTCGTAATAAATCAAAAAAATCAACTTATAAAACACTTCCGAAAGCAGTTTAAAATTTTAAATTTATTTCTCAATACGGGTCATGTGAGAATACATATCATATATAAATTATAATATTTATGATATTAATTATTACAAATATTAAAATTAAATCATTTTCAATCATAAGTAAAAGAAAATATAATGAGTCATAACGAAATACCACATAAAGTGTATCAAAAAAATATTTTTGATCATAACAAAAATAATAATCATAATATGTCATCACCAATATTACAATTGATTATAACTAATATCATAATGAGTCATAATTAAGTCATAACTAATATTACAAAATGTTATAACCAAACATCACAAATGTCATTACTGGACATATGTGATGCACTTCAAAATTGAGTGTGTATTTTAGAATTTCCCTCTCAATACACACCATCAACCACTTACCATCACCACCAGCCTCTACCATCCATTCCGTACCTTCGCCTGTTATTCCCAACAACCATGACGATGACCCCATGTCCTAGCCACTATTATAGACCCCCGTCCTAGCTACCATTAAATCTTGCAACCCCTATCCCTCCTCATCCTCCTCCTCCTCCTCCTCCTCTTCTTTCTTCTTCTCTAAACCTAGATCTATTCCTTACACCCCAAATGAAACCCTAGATTTATTCTTTCTCTATCTCTCAATCGCAGCAACAAAAGCTTGGGAGGGGGCTCTTAAGGCAATCAGGGGTTGCATGGTGGTAATCAAGGGACTAGGTAGGTAATGGTGGTAGTTGTAATGGCGGCTGGATTAAGGTGACAACTTGAAAATTAGAAAACATAAAGGTGTTTTTCTATTATTTGAGAATTAACGGTGTGAATTGAGAAAAAAATAAAATTTTAAATTAGTCACGTTGTGAACTTGGAATATGGTGCACATAGAGAATAGATGGTCTGCAAATAGAAATTTCTTTTTATTTCTTTACATTTTTTATATTTTTATTATAGTCTTGCCCTATATAAATTAGGACAAATTATACTAATGGCCCTTATATTTTATTTCTTATATCATTTTGGTCCTTACACTTTTAATTGACTTAATTTTGACCGTTAATTTTAAATTTTGTGTCAATTTAGTCCAATTAATAATATAGTTAATGTTTTTTTAAATAAAATTATTGTTAAATTGGTTGAGATTTACTCACCGAGTTAAGTAAATTTATAATTTTATCCTTAAAAATATGAGTTCCATGTGAGACATTTGGTAAAAATTTTGATAAAACTTTTAAAATCTCTAACATTACTCCTGACAAAATATTACACACCTATTAAATTCAGTTCAAAATGTAATGGAGCTGGTTTAAATAATTAATTAATTAGAACCTGAAAGTTTTCTAGCATTAGCTAATAAATCTGAGTCATTATTTGATTTATCAAAATGAATAATCTCTTTTTAAAATAATTATTTATGTATAGTACTGAATAATGACTTTATTTATAATATATATGTATTAAATATTTTTTTAATAAATTAGACATGAAAATAATGTTCATTTCATTCTGCATAATTCCACCTAACCAAATATTAGTTAGATTTCTTCGCTAAAAAAAATAAATAAATTAAATTCAACGCTTGCCAAACTTTAAAAAGCTTCTCTCCCCAAACCTACCATAGATTTTCCCTTCTATCAGAAGAAAATCTCTGCTACCTTTTTTCCTTCTGCAATCTAATTTTTCTCGACAATGGAAAGCCTAAGTTTCTATGTTGGAGTGATAGGTAATAACCCATTTCAGTTATGTTTATATATAGCTTTTCTTTGGATTTGTCAATTCACAAAGAGAAACTAAACTGTTCTTTTGCTTCTCATTGTTTCAGGCAACATCATCTCAGTTCTTCTCTTTCTTTCTCCATTGTAAGTACAGACTCAGAGAGACAGAGAGACAGAGAGAGAGAGTTTAACTCGCAAAATTATGTACTTTTATCTCCCATCTAAAAAAAACTAAGTACTTTTAACGACCAAATTTGTGGCTGAAAGTGTATTCTCTTGCAGTGAATCATGATTGTTTAAATGATCCTGGAACCGTTTTGAAATAGTCACGATGAGTGAAATATATTTGAAATGTGATTTGCAGAGGAACATTTTTGCGGATTGTGAAGCATCGATCAACTGAGGAGTTTGAGAGCTTTCCATACATTTGCACACTGCTAAGCTCATCTTTATGGACTTACTATGGAATCACAAAGCCTGGGAGTTACCTTGTTGCCACTGTTAATAGTTTTGGAGTCGTAGTTGAAGTCATCTATGTATCATTGTTCTTACTATATGCGCCTCCAAGGATGAAGGTAAGCTAGCTACTTGTAATGTCATTATAATCCGATGATTTTTAAATAACAGTATCATGATATGTATTGGTATCAACAATATTGTCATATATCAGTCGATATCAGATAATATGCCCCCAAGTGTCTGTTGAAAACCAGTGGCGGAGTTAGAAAATTAGATTAGAAGGGCCACTTATTAATTATAATTTTTTATTTAAAAAAAATATAGTCTTGCCCTATATTAATTAGGGCAAATTATACCAATGGTCCCTATATTTTATTTCTTATATCATTTTGGTCCCTACACTTTTAATTGACTTAATTTTGACCGTTAATTTTAAATTTTGTGTCAATTTAGTCCAATTAATAATATAGTTAATGTTTTTTTAAATAAAATTATCGCTAAATTGGTTGAGATTTACTCACCAAGTTAAGTAAATTTATAATTTTGTCCTTAAAAATATGAGTCCCACGTGAGACATTTGGTAAAAATTTTGATAAAACTTTTAGAATCTCTAACATTACTCCTGATAAAATATTACACACCTATTAAATTCAGTTCAAAATGTAATACAGCTGGTTTAAATAATTAATTAATTAGAACCAGAAAGTTTTCTAGCATTAGCTAATAAATCTTAGTCATTATTTGATTTATTAAAATGAATAATCTCTTTTTTAAATAATTATTTATGTATAGTACTGAATAATGACTTTATTTATAATATATGTATATATATATATTAAATATTTTTTTAATAAATTAGACATGAAAATAATGTTCATTTCATTCTGCATAATTCCACCTAACCAAATATTAGTTAGATTCTTCGCTAAAAAAAAATAAATTAATTAAATTCAAAGCTTGCCAAAGTTTAAAAAGCTTCTCTCCCCAAACCTACCATAGATTTTCCCTTCTATCAGAAGAAAATCTCTGCTACCTTTTTTCCTTCTGCAATCTAATTTTTCTCAACAATGGAAAGCCTAAGTTTCTATGTTGGAGTGATAGGTAATAACCCATTTCAGTTATGTTTATATATGGCTTTTCTTTGGATTTGTCAATTCACAAAGAGAAACTAAACTGTTCTTTTGCTTCTCATTGTTTCAGGCAACGTCATCTCAGTTCTTCTCTTTCTTTCTCCATTGTAAGTAAAGACTCAGAGAGAGAGAGAGAGAGAGAGAGAGAGAGAGAGAGAGAGTTTAACTCGCAAAATTATGTACTTTTATCTCCCATCTAAATAAAAAAAAAACTATGTACTTTTAACGACCAAATTTGTGGCTGAAAGTGTATTCTCTTGTAGTGAATCATGATTGTTTAAATGATCCCGAACCGTTTTGAAATAGTCACGATGAGTGAAATATATTTGAAATGTGATTTGCAGAGGAACATTTTTGCGGATTGTGAAGAATCGATCAACTGAGGAGTTTGAGAGCTTTCCATACATTTGCACACTGCTAAGCTCATCTTTATGGACTTACTATGGAATCACAAAGCCTGGGAGTTACCTTGTTGCCACTGTTAATAGTTTTGGAGTCGTAGTTGAAGTCATCTATGTATCATTGTTCTTACTATATGCACCTCCAAGGATGAAGGTAAGCTAGCTACTTGTAATGTCATCATAATCCGATGATTAAATAACAGTATCATGATATGTATTAGTATAGTATCAACGACACTTCCATTTATCAGTTGATCTCGGATAATATGTCCCCATGTGTCTGTTGAAAACCCTATGCTTAGTGACATGTGATTTATAAAGGTCTAAATTCTAATTAATTAATTGTCATTTCAGGCTAAGACTGCAACACTAGCTGGGATTTTGAATGTGGGATTCCCAGTTGCAGCAATTCTAGTGACTTATTTGGGGATGCAAGGAGATCTGAGGATTGATGTGATTGGTTTCATGTGTGCTGGCCTAAATATAGTCATGTATGCTTCACCTCTTGCTGCCATGGTAAGATCATAAGCTATTGCATAACACATTTTAACATTCTTAAAAAGCATTTGAGGGATTTTCTTTTCTTTCTTACTTTCTCCTTCTTCTTTTTAAACGTTAATATGGTAGATCAATTCCATACAAAGTTTTAAATGATATGGAGAGATGAATCAACGTTGGTCAGGCCGGGCCTGAGATTTCCAGAGCCCAAAATTAATAATTAACTAATAAATTTTTGGGGTCTTTCACATTTTATTTTTTATTGAATGAAAAAAAAAATGAAGATAAAAGACAAAGATTTGTGTCAAAATTACAAAAAATACTTAGGGTTGTTTGGGGTGTCTTAAATAAGTGTACTTTTTGTCTTTTTTGACTAAAAAATAGAGGAAAAAAATATGAATGTTTGGGTTAACTTTTTGACTTTTTATGGAAAAATGTGTATTAAAAAATTGTATAAATTAGTGTGTGTGAAAAAATTAGGATTGGAAGTTGTGTAGCCGTAATTTTTGACTTTTGGTGAATAATGATAACTTTTTAACTTTTTGAGTAACTATTTGGCTTTTTAGCATTTTTTTTAATTTGCCAAACTTGGCCTTAGTATTACATTACAACAACTAACAAGTGTCGCTTGATCCTCACTCTTCTTGTATTTTTGAAGCAAATAAATCAATCATACTTGCATAATCTATTTTTTTTGCAAAATCATTTTCAATGGATAGCAATGCTAATTATTTTAAATGGGCCTTTCAAATTTTTAATGGATCAATTTATTTTAAGTTAGTTTGGGACTTCCTTAATTTTTTTTGGATTTAAAACATACCTAATATATTACAATAAACTATTATAGGAGGGGACCCTTTTTTTGAGACTATTTTCAATAGATAACAATGTTAATTTTTTTGAATGGGCCTTCCAATTTTTTAATGGGTCAATTTATTTTAAGTTAGTTTGGACATTCTTTAATTTTTTTTTTTTTTTGAACTTAAAACATACTTAAATATTACACTAAACCATAATAGGAGGGGGCTTCTCTTTTAGATTTATTTTGAGAGGTCCTAAGTCATGGCCTGGTTGACCCATGCTCAGGGCCGGCCCTGACGTTGGCTGTAGCAATATTCAGAGTATTGAGTGACCTAATTGTAAATTTTTAAAAGGGTAAACAACACTTTACCCCATGTGATTGAGGAGATTAATAAATTTTTAAATAATTTTTAAGCAATAATTATATCTTTAAGAACAAAAGAATAATTATAATATTAAAAAAATACTAAAAATTAGAAAATATTAATTTTATATATTAACATTATCTATGATATTATTAATTTGGTGATATATTAAAAAAACACTCTTTATCATACATCTCCAGCCTAATACCACCATACTAATAATATCCTCTCTCAATCTCATCGTACTCTTAATCCCCTTCATCCTATGGAGCCAAACAAACGTAGCCTTAGGCTATTGCAGATGATCCCAAGAGGTTTGAATATATGCAGACACCTTTCTTAATTTACCCTTACTTAAAAGCTCTCTCTCTCTCTCTCTCTCTCTCATACTTGTAATTTTCTATATTAATCATACATTTAACAAATTAAATCATATATTAACTTAAGCACCCTAATCTATTATTATAAAATTACGTTAATTTCCTATTTAATAACATTTTAAATTATATATACAAATATAAAAATATATATGTATATATAATTAAGCCATAAATTAATTTAAACACATTTATTACTATAAAATCAAATCATAAATTACTTTAATCTATTTTTTAATTTTTAACCCACTTTTTTTATTTAATAACATTTTAAATATGAGAAAAAATTAAATCATAAATTAAACTAAGCACCCTAATTTATTACCATAAAATTACCTTATTTAATAATATTTTAAATTAAAGATATGCCTATATAAATTATAAATTAATCTTACTGCCTTTATTTATTATCATAAAATTATCTTAATTAATTATTAATTTTTAACTTCATTTCTTTATTTAATAAAATTTTAAATCATATATACAAACACCTTTTGATTTATTATTTTATTTTATTTATTTGTTGATTTCTTTAATTTTGCTTCTACTCTGTTATGCAATTTGTTAGGAACATTGCAACTACTAGTTGCCTCTGTTTTTTAAGATTTAACTTTAAATTTTATGATTCGATTTTATGGTAATAAAGGGTTTAGATTAATTTATGATTTAATTATATATATAAATTTGTATATATAATTTAAAATGTTATTAAAGAATAAATTAATTTAAAAATTTTAACTTAATTAAGGTAATTGTATGATAATAAATTAAGGAAGTTAGATTAATTTATAATTTAATTTGTTATACATATAAATATTCATATGTTTAATTTAAAATATTATTAAATAATGTAATTTCATAGCAATAAATTTTTATTATTTAATTTGTTATGTATATGTTTATTTTAAAATATTATTAAATAAAAATAATGGGTTAAAATTAAAAATTAGATTACGGTAATTTCATGATTTAAACAAATATAAATAAGAGCAAACAATAAAACTAAAAAACTAAAAATAAAAAATAAAAAAAATAAAAAGAAGACAATCATCTAGCACAATATAATAGAAGAAAATAGAGTGGAAGACAAATTAAGCAAAAAAACATTTGATTAAATAAAAAATAAAATAAATAAGAGATCAAAGTAAATAAAATAAATAAATGAAATAATGAATTTGGGTTTGCAGGATGTGTGAGCATTGTCTTATATAGTGACATGTGAGGGCATTTTGGTCTTTTGGACAAATCATTTTTGGAGTAAAAACTGTCGAATCAATACTTGCAAATGGGATGTGTGCAACCCACTTGCCATTTATTTGGAAGGAAAATGTAACAATTGCAGATCAGTCTAAAACCACAAGAGAAGTGTTCGCATATATTCAAACCTTAGGGGTCATTTGCAACAGATCAAAAAAATAGGGGTTTAAGTGCTTTTTACCCTTTTTTAAAACCATCCGTTGTGAAAATGAGAATTATATTGACCAAACAAGCCATGTCACACGTGAACCAATTGTATAAAACTCTGGACTATCTTGTGAATCGACTATGGATCGATATATTGAGAATCGGTTGACGTTGTAATTTTTTAAAAATTATTAACCGTGAAACAATACTTAATAGTAATTGAACAAGATGTATTGGATGTAATTTGGGTTTTAAATCCACTATGAATTGATACGAATTGTCAATTAGCTGATAAGCAAATATTTTTATGATGTATTGAGAGGCCAAAAAATTGTATTAGCTAAAATGTCTAATCAACCAATATTCAAAACCTTCTTTCTATATAAAAATGTTTTTTTTCCCATTGATCTCTTTCTTTATAATTTTGATTCTCTCCATTGTATGAATAGAATGGGGATCTAGTTTTCACTTCAAAAGGTTTCTAACACATCATATAAATACAAATTTACAATTTATAACTACCAAGTCATGAGAAATTTTAAAGCTTGACCTAACTAACTTTTGAATTTCAAATAAATATTTGTTGATGTGAATTTTATACTACGGAATTGGGGCCACTGTTATGCCTTTCGGCAACACCAGCCTATCTTTGTGATCAATCTGATTTATTGTTTAACATTGAGTACATTATAGATACAAAAAATTAAATTAATAACATAAAAGTAGGTCAAACTCAAAATTATATTTAGGCCTAGTTTGGGAAGATTGAAAAAAGACAAAAAGTCAAAAAGTCACTATCCTATTTAAGTCACATTATCTTATTTAAGTCACATCGCCTCTCTAATACATCACTTCAAACCCAACCCAAGCCCAACCTATATTTCATAAAAAGTCAAAAAATACACTTATTTAGTCTTCCCAAACTAGGCCTTAAAAACTAAACAAAGTGACCATGAGCAACATAAAAGTAGGGCTCACATCCTAGACTGGAGGACACAAAAGTCTCATCCACTCTTTGTCTACTTGATCTAAATTATTTAAATTGTGATGTGTGTGACCCTTCAAAATATGAGGAGACGACTAAAGTTTTTAGTTGAATAGCTATAATATTAGAAACTCTCAATTATTGTATATGTCAATAAAAATAAAAATAATAATAATAATCAAATGAATTAAAATGATGCAGAAAACAGTGGTGATGAGCAAAAGCGTGGAGTACATGCCATTCTTTCTCTCATTTTTCTCCTTCTTCAACGGAGGCATTTGGACTTTCTATTCTGTCCTTGTACAAGACTGGTTCCTTGGAGTAAGTTTCTAACTTTCTTTAATTTTTTGTCATTATTCTTTGCGGAAATTACAACACAATATAAAATAATTTTGCTTGCATGCATGAGCTAATATATAAGTATGTATTGTGTTCGGTTTCTATCAAATTTTAAATATAAATTTGTGAGGTTCGTGAAGCTTATCATAAGTCATTATAAAAAATTAAGATTTTAAAGATCAGAATTTAAGGATAAAAAATTTTTTTGTGACCAAATATTTTTGTTGTGAAAAGTGTCGGCGTTATATTTTTACCAACGAAAATTAGACATTAGTGATGAATTATTATCTTTTTGAAATAAAATGTTCTGTCTCAAAAAATAAATCATTTTTAGACCAAATTATTTAGCCCCTAAAAGTCTATTTATTAGTGGCACTTTCAAAATTTTGTCGCTAAAAGCCTTATTTTTGACTTTTCAGAACGACCTTTTAGCGACTATCCTTACAATAATAGAAATTAGTCCTTAAATATCTTTTGCAACAAAATTTTCACTTTTAGAGATCAAAACACTTTATCTCTAAAACTCTTATATGTTGTAGTGAGTCTTGTTTTAATAATTTGAATTATCATTTTATAAAACTCTCAATATATTGTTAATGCAAAAATTTGCTCAATTTGATAATTGACATTTTTTTACCACGTTTGTTTCCAAATAGGCAGGAAGTATGTTTGTAAAATAGTTCATATATTTTTTTGAAGACAAACGTGATAAAATAAAAAGATTATAATTATCAAATAGATTTAACTTTTTTCAATGATGATATATATGTTCTACAAAATGAATAATTTATATCATCGAAATGGAACCCGCGATGAGTCCTATGAGTCTCTCAAATTTTTTCGACTTCATATTTTGAACTTGAGAGAACTCTAACATATATATACATATTTGTACAGTATACACACACTCTTACTCTTAGTTACACTTCGTTTTATAATAAGAATTTGAGAAAAAAATTTTAGTATAGTTTAAATGAATTATTTATAATTTTTTATTTTTATTTTAAGAGTTTGTGTCAAACTATTTAATACAATTTCTCCATGCAACTTAACAAACAAAAATAGTTTATCTAAAAGGGAAGGATGCTTTTGTATTATACTTTTAGATTATTAGTTTTTAACTTTAAAATTAAAAATAAAAATAAAAACTACATCAAAGATGCCCATTATATACAAATTAAACATTTTTTTTTAGAATTTTCTTTTATTTAATATAATCACCATCGCACACAAATATATATATATATATATAGCGGGTTGTGTTATTATACACGTTTCTTTTGGATGTGTATCATATATAAATTATGATATTTATAGTGTTGATTATCATAAATATCATAATTAAATTATTTTTGGTCATAACTATAAATAATAAAAAAAATAGAAAAAAGTCATAACCAAACGCTACATAATGTATAATCAAATATCTTTTCGATCATAACTAAAATAATAATAATAATAATAGATCATAACTAAAATCACAATAAATCATAATTAAGTCATAATTAATATTATAATAAATTGTTGCCAACTATCAGAAATGTCATAACTTGAATAATTTCCCTTGATTAAAATTTGACATGAGGTAGCTTGTATATGTTGTTGAATTTGATATGGAGTCTGTTGCTTTCACTAATATCTCATTATGTTGCTTTCACAACGATCTCCAGCATTTTCTATCACATGATTTGGTTTAGTGGGGCTCTGCTCTAGCAATTCCACAAAGCAAATTGTTTAATTAGGGTTGGGTTGGGTTGGATTGAGATTAAATTAGTTATTAAAAGACAAATTAAATTAAAAAATTAATAAGATAAAATATCTTATTTAAACCAAAATCATTTCACTTATTTTCTTACAAAAGTCAAAAAAGTCAACTCATATCTCAACTCCAAAAAGCTAACTACTATTCTTCTTATGTAATTTTTATCCAAATTTTTTTTGTCAGAATGAGTCTTTGTTTAAGAATAGCTTAAAAAGACATATTTTTTGAATTCTTTGTTTTAGTGAAACTTGTTTTAGATTAGTGTCCTTTTTATATCTTTTTTTCTTTTTTTTACTTTTTGGGTAGGTGCAGTTTTAAAAATCTGAAAAATAAAAAATTTTGAAAAATAAATAAATAAATTTGACATTTTGTCTTTTATTTTGTTTTTAGTAAACTATTTTTTTATTTCTAAAATTTTAATTTTTTTTTTTTAAACTTTTCATGTCCATGCAGGTAATAGAACTTAAAAGTGCAAAAGTTTTGTGAATTTCTTGCAAAACAATTCACTACAAATGAAATGAAAAAAAAAAATGAGAAGTCCTATTACCTCAACAACAACAACAACAACAACAACAAAAACACCAAGGGTTTGAGCTTCATAACAACATCAATTATGAGTTTTTAATTTTCTCAATTTAAATTCTAATTTTTTAATTTGCTTTCAATATAAAATATTTGTCTATTTTTGTTAGATAAAATTGACAATATATATATATTAGCTATTAAAATCAATGTACGTATATATAAAATATCTAAAATATTATTTTTTTATTCAGTTTTAATGATTAAAATACCAATTTTAGTTGATTTTGGGAAGATAATAAAAAGTTACTTTTTAGTTTTTAACTTATTTTGGCTCATTTCAACTCTCTACTTTTTTGCATATTTTTTCACAAAAATAAAAAAGTTAGCTTTTAAGTTTCGTTTGGTATTGGATAATGGTGGTGTTTGGTGTAGCTGTTAAAACAGATTATAGATTATAGCTTAACAGATTATAGATTATGACTTTAATCAGAAGCGGTTAATCTGTTTGGTATAGCTGTTGGATTATAGATTTAAGTTGCTGACTAGTGTTTGTTAAATAAGCTGTGAAGTAGCTTTTTCAATTAATTTTTATTTTTTATTATTCACTATTTGTCTACATTTTTCATAAAAAATAATAATATTATTTAATAGTCCATTTGAGTCTTTTTCTATTTTTAAAAAAATAAAAAATAAAAAAATCTAATAGTATAACCGTGAATTAACATGTCCACAGCAGAAGCTGATAATCAGAAGCAAGGGGTGAGCAGCTTCTCAGAATCAGCTTTTTTGACTTAAAATAAGTTGTTAGAATCAGAAGCTGTTTGAAATAAGTTTAACCAAACAGTCCAAAATAACTTTTTAAAAGCCAGAAGCCATAAGTTGGCTTAAAAAATCTGCACCAAACACCCCCATTATAGTCAACTTTTTTGTGTTAAGACTTTTTTAATTTGGCTTTTTTAGTCTCGTTTGGTTTGAATTTTTTTAGCTTTTTTGACTTTTGTAAGAGAAAAAGTCTAATGATTATAGGTTAGATGTGATATTTTGTCTTATTAGCTTATTTAACCTATTTTATCAGTTTGTATTTTTTTAGCTCCAAAATAATAGCCAAACCAAGGCTTAACCTACTTCTAAAAACAACTCTTAACAAAAATAGTCAAATAATTTAAATTAAAAATAAATTAAAATTTTGAGGTTTAAATTAATAAAATTAAAAACTCAAAGTTTAATTTATTCAAAAGGTCCAACCTTTACCTTTTTTTTCTTTTCTTTTCTTTTTTTTTTTTTTAATTTCCTCTGAAAACTATTAACCATATTCCCCCACTTCATTGTACCAAAACCAAAACTATAACCAAAAATATATACTATATATACCAAAAAATAATAAAATAAATAAATAAATAAAAACCAAGACCAAATTGAACATTTCAACCTTTAACAAAAAAAGCCATATACGAGGTGACAGAGCAGCACGTCAAACCTAAAACAACCACAACTACCAGTTGTATCGGAATAGGCAATTGACCATTAGATTGCTAAATAAATTGCATGATATAGTGTTAATTAACTTTTCCCTTTTATCGTTTGATGTTAATTTCACTTTAGTCTTTATTATTTCAAAGGAAAGTTTAAGCATATATAAAAATTTATACAAAAAATTTAACAAAAATGATGTGATAATATCATTATTATATATAAATTCTTTTTTTAATAATATTTTGTTTTGAAATAAAAGGTCCACAATGTATCATATCATTATCTATGAAAATTACGTATAAATTTTTTGTTTGTATAAAATTACACTTTAAGTCCAATTTCAAATTGATTATTTTGTCAAATTTCTATTAATTTTGTTTACGTGCACACCTTAGAAAATTGACAAGTATTCCAAAATTATTAATTTTAATCTCCAATTTGAACAGAATGATCAAATTGACACAACATTTAAAGTAGAAATTTTTTTTGAAAAGTCCAAGGTAAAGAGAGTATAAGGCATTAGGTTCAGTGGATATTTTTTGTTAGTGAAAAGTACATCCTTTGTGAAATAGTTTAGTGAGAAGTTCTTTTTTTTTCTTTTTCTTTTTATTAAAGACATTTTTTGTTTCCAATTTTACCTCTTAATTTATATGTTGACTTTTTTTTATATTTGTTAATTTTTCGTTGACTATCTGTTCAAATTCATATCTATTTGTTCAATTTTTTTAACTATTTGTTCAAATTTTTTTTTATCTATTTAAATTTTTTAACTATCTGTTCAATTTTTTTCTCTTATCTGTTCAAATATCTGTCGAAATTTTATTATTTGTTCAATTTTTTCTCCTAAATTAATTGTATTTGGTCATTTTTTTAAAAAAAATTTCTATCTGTTGAAATAACAAGCCAAAGCAATTTCTATCTATTGAAATTTCCCACTACCAATACTCAAATATAATCCAATACATGAAGATATATCTGTTCAACTTTTTATTTTTATCTGTTTATCCACCACTATAACAACAACAACAATCAAAAAAGAAGAGAAAATTAAGAAGCGATCGAAGTTCCACCACACGCCCACATTGCTAGGTTATACAACTTGCTAGGTTATTCTCTCACAGATCTCGTGCTCAATCTCTCTCTCTCTGATTCTAGATGCAGATCTGGTCCAAAGATCTTAGAAAATCAATTATCTAGTGATGTTATATGCAAGCATATGTAT